GTTATTGTTTGAGAAAGAATGTAATTTTCACTTTGTTATTATTTGAGAATGTATTCTATTATTGTTTGAGAAAGAATGTAATTTTCACTTTGTTATTATTTGAGAATTTATTCTAAAGAATACATTCTCAAATAATAACAAAGTGAAAATTACATTCTTTCTCAAACAATAAATTATTGTTTGAGAAAGAATGTAATTTTCACTTTGTTATTATTTGAGAATGTATTCTATTAGTGTTTGAGAAAGAATGTAATTTTCACTTTGTTATTGTTTGAGAATGTATTCTGTTATTGTTTGAGAAAGAATGTAATTTTTACTTTATTATTGTTTGAGAATTTACTTTTTTATTGTTGGAGAAAGAATGTAATTTTTACTCTGTTATTGTTTGAGAATTTACTCTGTTATTGTTAGAGAAAGAATGTAATTTTTACTCTGTTATTGTTTGAGAATTTACTCTGTTATTGATGGAGAAAGAATGTAATTTTTACTTTATTACAGTTTGAGAATGTACTCTGTTATTGTTGGAGAAAGAATGTAATTTTTACTCTGTTATTGTTTTTACTTTCACCATATAATCACTTTGCAGATTTTTTACACTATTCACACATCTATGCTCTCACACTAAACAATATGCAAAAATCTTCTATCAACTTTTCCTGTACTATTTCTTTCCCTTTTCTTATACAAAATGTCTTTGTTGTTTTATTTTCGATCATGGAACAATGTTACTTGTATTTTTCACTTCTCTCTCCTTCTCTCAGTATTTCCGCCTTTTAACCAACTTAGTTCTAGAGAGTAATTCAATCTTACTCTTTCTTCTGCTGCCAAAAAAAAAAAACAAAAAAAAAACAATTTTGTATTTTTAATTTTCCGTTTACATCTAATTTCACTTAGTGTTTCTTCCTACTTGCCTCCCAGTGGATAAGCGATAAGTCTGCAGGCTTACGAAGTTAAAATTCGGGTTTCGATATCTTTGGTGGGCAGGGTACAGATAGCTTATTGTCCAGCTCTACACTTAACAACAACCAAACCAAAATCTTCCTACTTAACGCCTTAACATCATTTTACTGAAATCTACTTTTCTTTTCCTTTTCTATTTTATCATTAATTCTATTCTTCTCTCCTCTGTTTTTTTTTTCAATCATTTATTAATTTTCTTTATTTCGTTTTGTTCCATAATACTACTCTATACGTCTTTTTTATCACTATCTTCGCTTTATAACTGTATAAATTTTATGTTTTGTAGTGAATATATTTATTTATGTATATATATGTGTGTGTGTTTGTACGTATGCGCATAAGACATACTTTTATTTGTTATTTAGTTCTACATTTTGAATCCGTTTCTAAATGAAGGCATTTATCTAACAGTACTAACTGACATTTGATAATGGAAGTTTGTAGGAAGACCAGGCAGAATCGTGGAGTTGAAATTCTGATCTAAAGTATTTTTAAAACTTCACAAAAGTGCTTGCTGCATCTTTAAGAAGACAAATTCGCTTAAACTAAATCTTCCACCAGGATAGCTCGAAATCCCGGAGTTGACTTACTAGTGTAAACATTTCATAACATTTCTACCCCCTCCTCCACCTCCAGCCTCTCTTCCCACTTTCAAAACGTGCACACTATGCAAAGACAGAAATAGAGCCCAATTTCCTGAATGACATAAAAAGTTCGTTTATTTTACTTATAAGTAAAAAACGTTTTATTTTTAGAAACTCTTGATTGACAACTGCTGTTGGGTCATCTAGGCTTGACTTGGAATAAAATATGTGTGATTACGACGAGAAATTTGTTTGAAGGTGACTCTTAACATTGTATTTACGTAGCGTGATTCATATTTCTGTAATTTTACTGAGACAGATGCCAAGCCGCGGCAGGTATTTACCAACACCCTGTTCCAAGTGTTCCATTCTGTCAACATAAGAACCGCATTTTTTTTCTTCTATAACCTGAAAATAAAATAAAAGAACTGTGACTTTCAAGAGAGACTACGAGTTTCAAATATCTTAATTTACAAACAAATAAAAGGCTATAACGTTTTTTTTTTTTTTACAGTTTTGTTGTTGTTCAGATAGGATATTCACTGATAGGATAATTGTTTCTATTAGTATTTCTATAATTCTATCATCTTTCGACTGGCTTAAAATCAAAATGTTTCTATCCCACTTTTGTTTGTTTCTTCACATTAGAAATGATCTTGTTCTCTTCTGTTTTGTTTAGGTAATTTTAGTTTTTGTACAGGCTACAAAAAGTTTTGCTTATTTTTATAACACGCTCTCAGTTGTTTAAAGTACAATTTCCGAATCCTTGTCAGTTGTGAGTTTGTAATTTTAGCCCAACCTATTCATAAATTGCAACGCTATAGAATAGCTTTCGATGCGATGCCATACAACAGGTTTTAATAAGTTCTCAGTTCCCAGTCTTATACAACAATTTTCAAAAAGTTCCCAGTTGTCAGTCTTATGCAACAGCTTTCAGTACATTCCCTATTGTCAGTCTTATAGATAATAGCTTTCAATACGTTCCCAGTTGTCAATCTCGGCTTTCAATACGTTCCCAGCTGTCAGTCAAATAGAACAACTTTAAGAACGTTCCCAGTTGTCAGTCTTATAGAACAGCTTTTAATATGTTCCTAGTTGTCAATCATATTACAGTTTCGAATATAGTTTTAGATTTCAACCTTATAGCACAGCTTCCAACAGATTTTTAGTTGACAGTCATTTTATTACAGCTTCAAATACAACCTCAGCCGTGAACCGTATAGTACAAGTTCCGAAGTATACTCATTTGTGAATAATAGTATACTTTCCAGGACAAGTTCAGTTGTAAGCTTAAAATATGACTACTAATACTTTTCTGTTGTCACTCCTGTAACACATTTTCCAACATATTAACAGTTGTCAGCCTTATAGTACAGTTCCAATGTATGCCAAGTTATTAACCTTATAGTACAGTTTCCAACGTATACCCAGTTGTCACTTCTTATAGAACAGTTTCTAACGTATACCCAGTTGTCACTTCTTATAGTACAGTTTCTAACGTATACCCTGCTCTTAATCTTATAGTACAGCTTCTAACATATTCTCAGTTGTCAGTCTTATAGTACAGTTCCAATGTATGCCCAGTTGTTAACCTTATAGTACAGCTTCTAACATATTCTCAGTTGTCAGTCTTATAGTGCAGTTTCCAACGTATACCCAGTTGTTAACTTTATAGTACAGTTTCTAAATTATTCTCAGTTGTCACTTCTTATAGTACAGTTTCCAATGTAAACCAAGTTGTTAACCTTATAGTACAGTTTCCAACATATACCAAGTTGTTAACCTTATAGTACAGTTTCCAACATATACACAGTTGTTAACCTTATAGTACAGTTTCCAATGTAAACCAAGTTGTTAACCTTATAGTACAGTTTCCAACATATATCAAGTTGTTAACCTTATAGTACAGTTTCCAACATATACCCAGTTGTTAACCTTACAGTACAGTTTCTAACATATTCTTATGTAATTGTCACTATTATAGTACAGTTCCAACCTTATAGTAAAATAGTGTTTTGTAATAACGACACTAATAAAAATGCACAGTGGGAAATATGGCACACTAAAAAAAGACAGCTGTAATAAGGGCTCCAGAACTACTAATGGCACTGATAAAAACTGTATGCATAATAATGCAAAAGCCCCCTAGTGGTACAGCGGTATGTCTGCGGACTTACGACGCTAGAAACCGGGTTTCGATACCCGTGGTGGGCAGAGTACAGGTAGCCCATTGTGCAGCTTTGTGCTTAATTCCAAACAAACAAACAAATAATGCAAAATGGGATTTTTACTAGACGTATGGAATCATCATAAACTCACAATTTTCCTGCGTTTAGATGGTTCTATTCCCGAGATGGACAGAGCAGAGATAGCCCATTGTGTATATTTACGCTGAAAAACAACAACACACCTGCATTTTTAATGAGACAATTTTTGCCACTTTACATTTTGACCGGTGACATTTTTAAGAGATTAATTAAAGATATGATGAGTCGTGTTGTTGTATTACCATATTTCCAAACAAAAGTTAATTATATTACTAGGTTATTGACACACCAGCTTTTACTATTATTGGTGGAATTGTGTGAAAAACTTATTATAATTAAAAAACGCCCATGATATGTCCATCTGAGGAGTGTTTATTTGCCTCTAATCAATCCAGCTATGTCGATAACCTAATTAGAAATGAAGGTAAGTAGTAGCACTTAACTTTGTTGACAGCTTAAAGCTTATCATTTTTTATAATGTGCTATGCTGTTATTGTCGAGTTAGAGTTTTAAAGGAGCAGTTACTATACATTTATATACATATATATATATATATAATTCAAATTATAATATGCTTTAAACTATAAATTCTCAACAATCACTTAGACTCTTAGAAGGTTATAAATTTTGCTCTAATGTTATAAAAGTGTTTTGGCCATAGAAACTAGTCATTAACTTTTTGTTTTACCAAATTATTTGGATTCTGAAACATATCAATTAAGACTACCTCTTTCAGTATGATTCATTTTCAATGTTCCGAATTAAACTTTATTCACAAGTGGAACTAAGCTTAACCCTGATGATTAAAGCATGATATCATGCAGATTCTTGTTTGCAAGAGCCAAAGAAGTGGTCATGTGGGCGTTTGAGTGAGTAAATATGCGTACTGTAAACTGAACCGTCACTGTTCTTAAAGGATCCTTTTCAGTCCTGTTTAGGAAGCGACTGTGACGTGTTATTCCTCAAACTGTGGCTTCAACTTCATAAGTTCAGTGGGAGCTTGTAGAGGAAGAGTGGTATTTTTGGAAAGTTTGGTTCTCATCTGAAATACATTCCCTGCTTTCGGTGAATATCCGTCAGTGTTCTTCAGTTAGACCAGCAGTCACATCGTAATAACTTCGCCTAGTTCTTTCATATCCGTATACTGCTGTTGTTATCCTAGCCACGCCCATCCATCATGTCCAGCCGCGGTCCTGCTTATGGTATGTCTGCTCAAGTGGCCAACAAGGTACGTTTGAATTTCGTTTTTTTTTTAAAATTGAGAACTATTGTTTTGTCAAAAGCTACTCTACAACAATCTTTAACTTGCAAGATAGTTTTTTACTTGTGCAATTCCAGTTTGTTTTGTTAATTATTAAAATTAGCTACGTTAAAAAACTTTTTTCTTCTACGCCTGGAAATGGCTTTTTACATAAATGCATACAAGCTCTCCTACTTTTCATGGCAAAATAAAAGCATGGTAGAATATGCACGTATTGCATAAAACACAAAAGGAATGACTTAATAACAACGTCTGAAGGCAAGTTAATGGATTGGACAAATAATAAGTCGAAGAACAAGTATTTCAACATTTCATAACGTAATATTGTGTAGCTTTAGAATGATTTTTACAACATGCTTAGGGCGTGTTGTGAAATTAATCTAATCAACATGCTCTTAAGATTTTATAATATAGTTTGTTAAAAATTTGTTGAAATTATATGTCTAAAATAGCAGAATAAGAACATCATTTGAATTTCCACATTAACTTAATACAATGAAATCAGGTTTTGCATCCTAAAATATTAAGTTATTTTTCAACTGTCTTGCCTTTTGAAAGATAATTTAGAGATTGAACAAAAGTGGATGCTGCTCCATTGTTCCTTTAATGTAGAGAATATTACTGTATGCAAAAAAAAAAGAAAAAGAAAAGAAGAATATAGTATCGATCAAGAGACGCGAATTTTTCGACAAATAGTTATTGTATGCGTTGGTTCTTGTTAGACAATTTGAAGATACTTAGATATATGAATGAAAATAAAAACAGGTTATATCAAACATGATTAACGAAATGCACAATAACACTATTCAACTTATCAAGTCTTATCATTTTAGCTTACAAGTGTACAATTTTCTCAATCTACATTTTTTCTTATTCAGGCGAAATTAAAAATGTTACTGTTATTGTGCTTTACCCCTGTGTGCTTTTGTCAGTTTAACCGCTGTTGTTTCCGACTCCTGAACGATTTCTCACTTTAAATGCTGTTGTATCTAACTCCTGAACGATTTCTCACTTTAAATGCTGTTGTATCCAACTCCTGAACGATTTCACACTTTAAATGCTGTTGTATCCAACTCCTGAACGATTCGTCACTGTAACTGTTGTTGTATCTAACTCCTGAACGATTCGTCACTTTAAATGCTGTTGTATCTAACTCCTGAACGATTTCTCACTTTAAATGCTGTGTATCATTAACC